TATATATATATATATATATATATATATATATATATATATATATATATATAAACACACACACAATGTTTTTAGATATCTAGTTTTTTGGAGAATATATTACTTGTATGTTTTCATATACTGCTTTTAGGGTGCGGTTTCTATAAGGCTGCAACCTTAAACAATCCAATTAAGGTGCACCTTAAATTTTTATTATAACATGCAATTTTATTGTAAAAAATACTTAGTATTATCTTAAAATCTATTTTCATACCTAATTAGAAAATTTTAAATTCCAAAAATGGTTAAAATCTAGTAGATCTATAAATATATAAAATTCTTGAAAATAGACGGTCTAGATAATGTGTTGCAAGATGCACTATTTTTGATACTCAAAAACTCTTTTTTTATATATTTATGTATCTCGATGTCGAGATGATCGATTAGAGGGTTTTTTCAACATTAAAACAACATTTCCAATAGACTTTTGAGGTGCATATGTGATTCTGCATTTTAAGGTTGCAACCTTTTATAAAATTTTCCCTTTTTTTTAAGGGAACTTATTGGTGAAATTTTTTTATGATGTTTTTTTGCTAAATCTTGATTCTTAATTTACTTCAATGTTAATGTGCTTATCTTTAAACTAAAATTCAATAATATTAAGTTAATGAAGAAATAAAATTATCGGGAAGAAGGTTTTTTGAAAAAAAGATAAAATACGGATTTATATCATTTCTATTAAAAACAAATGACTTTTTAAATATCTTTTGAAAAACTTGGAATTCTTAACAAATTTAAAAAAAAAAAGATTTTTTGAAAAAACAATGTTTTAAACTAGAGTAGACCTTACAATGGCTGAGTAGCTATAATGAATAGTAATATAGATGGAATTCCAGCGATCAGATCTTTATCATATGGTTCAAAATGCATATCACTATATGAATTTTAAATTTTTTTTTATAAATCTAATTAAGATGAAATTTTGGGTGTATATACCTAACACAATTGTGCACCATATAAAAATATAAAAAAAAAATATTTTCAATAATTTAAAATGACCAAATTACCTCCATTATTTTTTAGAGGGTATTTAGGTCATTTTATATTTTAAAAATATTTTTATATTTTTTTAATTATGCGTCCCATTTTTTAGTAACACGTCTAAAATTTCATTATGATATAATTATTAGAAACAATATTAAAATTTATATAGTGATATACATTATGAACCATATGATGAAGATCTAACGACTTCTATTCTACCTATATTGCTATTCATTATAGTTGCCCCGCTATTTGTTAGCTTTTTACTTTAAATGAAGCCACTTATGCTCTACGCTCCCTCGTTCTCTTTTGTCGACATTTCTTTTTTACACTAAGTTTCGCAACCTCTCTTTCTCTACTATTTACCACCTCCACGATCATCTCTTTGTACTCTCTCTCTCTTGCAAAACCTAATTGGACCACAACATTGTAAGAAAATGTGAAATTTCATTTTACAAAACCTACTTCTAAAAAGCCCTCTGAAGTGGATGGAGTGCAAAAGCAAGTGAGAAAGAGGAATGCTCAAATAAATTGTCAATAGAAACAACTCGAATAATTTTCATCGAGGTACTTTAATTTTAATTATTTTTTATAGAATTTCACTTTTTTATATATTTTTAAGAGAAAATATCTCTATGCTTCCCATTTTTAAGTTTTATATCTCAATAGACTCAAGGTTTCAAAACATATCTTGGATCATAAAAATTATAAGTTTTATATCTTTTAACCCCTTACGCTAACTTTATCATCTTTAAACATTTTTTCTTTTGCCCCAAACAGATGTAAAAAAGACGCATCATTTCTAAACACCATCATTTCTCTCTCTTCATGTGATTTTCTTCTAAATCTCTCTCTACTTATTTTTCCCACTCTCTCTCCTCATGTGTCTCTCACTCTCTCTCCTATGTTAGAGAGACAAAGAGGGTGAATGTTAGATAGAGAAATTTAGGGGAATATATCACATAAAGAGATGAAAGGTTTAGAATGAACATGTCTTTTTTATATTTGTTAGGGCAAAAATAGTTAAAAGTAGGTAAGTTAGTCACGGGGTTAGGAGATATATTTTGAATCTTTGGGTCTATTGAAATATGAAAACCAAAAATAGGAAGTACGAGGATATTTCTACTATTTTTAAATATTTTTTGTGCTTTTTTTTTTTACGACGTTTTGTATAATATTTATTGGTGTTATTTGCCACAAATTGTTCGAATGATATTTTTTTAGAGGTATTCAAATTTAAATTTGTGTCTCTGAAAAAAACTAACTTTTTATACCCTTGATTTAATTAAACTTTTATGGTTTATTTAGTCCCTTTTATTATTTGTTGGTTGAGAGAGTGAGAGAGATCTTCCTGGAAATCAATTGGGTTCAAGGGGTAAAAAGTGAGTACAAATTAAAAAAAATAAAAGCTCAAATCTTTTTTGGTTTTAAACACACATAAGCACTATCTCAAAACAATATTTACCCCATTTGATACTGTAATAGGTATGCAAAAGAATGACACCTTGTCAGAAAAGCATAAGGGTTTCTTTTATATTTTAAACTTCTATGCAGCTCAACTTGAAACCCATAATAGACATATGCGTCCCTTGTTGTATAGAGAGAGGAGAGAAAAAACGAGTAGAGAGAGATATCAATGCTCTGTTATGCTCTCTGGAATTTTGCTGTGATGCCAATAGGCTAATTTGTGGAAATTCTATTGTGTATGTAGGTTATTCTATTGTGTATCTCACAACATCAATCGCTTGAAGTCTTTAATCCTACAAAGTGGTGATTTAATATTAGCTTATCGATCTGAACTCAATCTTTATCAACTTGGTTTTTCGTTGAAATGGGAATCGGTCCGACTTGGATGGATTCATCTGATTCTATCAGGGCACTAGGAGATCTAGATTTGCTTGGTTCTCACCTATTATATATTTTTTTGAGCTTTTTAAGAAGGAAAAAGCTTACATAAGGTTGCAACCTTAAAATGTAGAATTAAAGATGTACCTCAAAAATCTATCGGAAAAAGTTGTTTTAAAGTT